TCATCCCTCGGTTTCGCTGAAAAAAAAAAAAGAAAGATGAAATGCTACAATGAGATTCATAGACTAAACTCGCAAAAAAAGGGCACAGAGCGGTTTGTAAGATTACGACATCCCCTTTTTCTTTTCGATCCAAAACGCCACTTCCCCCATAATCCCCTTCCCTCTTATTCTTGTAAATAAGTAAATAAAAAAATTTATTAAAGTTGGAAAACGACAAAGCAAATAATATTAAGAAATTAGTGAAAGTTATAAAATCTTGTAAAATATAATAATAAGAAACGTTTCGGTCCATTAAGTCGTATACATTTCTTACCATCACCACAATATAGGCCTGACCTATATTTCCTTCTGGGAAAAAACAAGGCAGTCGTTAACTTCAAAGAAATCAGCTTTCAAAAAGCATCGATTTGCAGAACTGCGGGCAATACCATCTGCCGATGAAAAGTAAGAACAATGTTTAAGAGCACGGCAAGTTAGGCATCAAAGCACTATCTGATAATTTAGCAAAGATTTAGAATTAAAAATTCAATACATCCACTATTACGACATGCCGACTACTACTTAAACCTTATCAAAATTTAAAAAAAAAAATTGCTCATCCGTAACGGTAAGGTTCACCAAATGCTGGTTTTCCAGACAAATTGGCCTGACAACCGAAAAACTAATTTTGGGTTTTATCGCCTTACACGCATATATCCAATCAGTGAAAGGTTTTTTTCAGAAGTTTTTTTTAGAAGTTTTTTTTAGAACTTGTAAGAAAGTGAATGGAATCCGGTAAACAAACAAACAGGTAAACAAGGAAAATAAGTAAACAAACAGCGTTAGGAAATGTAAAATTTTTTTATATTTAAGGAAAAAACGGGGATTAGATGATGTAACTCCTGGTCTTTGCAAGTCAATTTTGAATTTCGTTAAGAACTATAAAGTTGCAGGTGGATGAACAGTGTGTGTGTGAACTGGAATATTACACATACGATGAAGGGAATCTTGTACATTCGACTTTTACTGAGGAAAAAAATTTGAAGGAAACAAGGAAATGAACGCCAAAATTGCCAGCAAAATGATTAAAAAGATTGGTTTTTAGGCCAAAACAACTGAAAAAAGGTCCCCAGCCATGTTAAGGACCATGTCGTGTTAAGGACCAAGTCAAGTGACCACGAGCCAGCAGTAGTTGACCAAATCAATTAATATAAGACAAAGTTACACTGTTCGGTCTATGTATTCAGCTAGGGGATGAAACACAGACTGCCTCTTAAAATGTTTTCAAACACATGACATTCAAGTGAAATTCTTCTATTCTTCTATTTTTACAGCATTATCTTACAGTAGAGTAGATGGGTGGCAATTTCGCGCAGATCCTCGTCATCCTCGCTCAGCTTCTCCTC